TATTGAATTTGCTTTAAATACAACCTACATTAAATTTATTTACAATATTCATTATGGTTATTATCTGTTGTTAGCATCCCCCCATCACAGGTCGATCTTTGGTGACACCATGGACAAATATTCTTCAATTTGATCTGTCGGTGAACATCACTCACAGCTTATCTCTAATTAGGAATATAATCAACAACTTTTAGATACAAGTTTTCAAATTGTTTTGTTTGAAAAAATATACAGATGAAAATAAAATTACTTCCAGTAAAATCAGTCGCTAACTTCTCACCATGATTATCATTACATACTTGGGATATGCCATAACCACTATTGATGAGCCATATTCTTCAATCATACTTTTTAAAATCAATGCAGTGTAATGTATGTAAACTCATGGACAAAACTTAAGGAAGTTGTTGTTGGTGTTTTTAGGGGGTAAAAAAGAGAAAATGTTACTTAAATATATATTTTTAATATTATCTTTATGTATAGAAACTACAAAAGTAAAATTTAAGAATTAAGAAGAAATACAAAAAACAATAAAGGATCAAGAAGGCACTAACTACGTTGCCAAATTGTTAATTAACATATGCTAGCTAATATTATCATCATCAATTTATATTTTTATTCATATATCTATATAATTTATTTACACAGATAAAAATTACTTGAATTAATATTCCTAACAGTTGTACCTTTTAGCATGTATATCGGGACAATAACTCTGAAAGATATTACAGTGACCTTTATTGAAGACACACGAGAAAACCAAGTGTGAACAAAATTGCTTCTGTCTTCTTAAAAAAAAAAAAAAAAAAAAGACGACCGTTGACATCAAAGACTTTCTACTTACTTAAGTTTTGTCCACGAGCATCTATATAGTATAAAAATAAAATTTATCCTCTATTGTATTAGTCAATTCCTGTTTTTATGTATATTTGTGTGTTTCGAAACTTTATGATCGAAAAGTCATCTTCGTGTTAAACTTTCTGCGTTAAAAATGGTAAAATTGGGTCGCTGAAACGTCTTGGGATAAATTTTGTAGGTTAATGTGTGTTTATCTCTAATAGAATTGATGTAAGTTTTTAGATCACAGGTCAAATATATATAATGCGCAAGAATTTTCCAAAACTGGTTGTGTGGCTTATTCTGTATCACCACCATTACGTTTGGTACTGGAGCGTTAAACAAAATGCTTTGTTCAAAAAGCATACAATCAAATTGATTAAAAAAAAACATACATTTTTTCAATAAAATCGTATCTTTAATTATGTGACAATCTTATCTGTGCAAGCTTTCTAGAATTTCTCTACTTCAATATATGTAAATATGTAAATTCCCATCCCTGGACACTTTTTTTTTCCGTTTATCATTACTCTTTACAATTCATCCTTTCATACTTCATCCCTAAGGTTAGAAATAATCGTTATTTCTGCTTAAAATAAATTTCGATTTTTCGTTTAAAAGAAACACATGCGGGATAATTTTCAAATGTCGTTCTACAATCATAAGCCACATTATATATGTAAATATGTCTTTACACCTGTTAAAGAGAACTGTGATGCTCGAAAACATCTCTGAAGAATACCTTTTAAAAGAAACACTTCATTATTTCAATGCATTTTAAAGGGAGAGGTACTCCCTTTTGGTTGATTCAAGGGATCATTTCAAGGGAAAGTTATTGTCACAAACATCTCTAAATTTGAAAGCTTTCGAGTATCTACCCTTCATCATAGTCTTTACACCTGTTGAAGAACACAGATATATCCTCGAAAGCTCTTACGCAGAGTTAAAATTACAACATTAAAAATAACTTTTTTTCCGAAACTTTTCGTTTAAACATAAAAATGCATCGAATACAAGAATATAAACACAATAAACTTTTTCCTGTATACTCCTATTCCACCAAAAAAGATAAAAATGAATCGTTTTAATGTATTTTAAAGGGAGAGGTACTCTCTTTTGGTGTAGCTTATATGTAAAGAATATTTCAAGGGAAGGTCGCTGTCACAAAAGGCTCTAAACCCAGGCAGCAGGCCCAATCTGGCAACACCAATTAGCCACAATTACCACTCTCTAATTACAACCATAAGACCCACTTTAGCAACGGCTAAAAAACAAAAGGTCGTGGTCTGCCTGTCATTATCTTTATCATCATTTGCGAGTTATTAGCAGCAGATACATTCGGCCATTTTGTTTAATTATTCTCTCTATTGTAAATCTATATAGGGGGGGATATTGGTCAAATTCTTTTTTAATTGTTCAATGAATTTTTTTTTACTTTATTATTTGTATCGAATAAAAGAAGAAAGGCTACGGAACAAAAGAGTGTTTTGAAAGTGGTTTGTCGCAATTTGAAAGAAAGCTATAGTTTGAAAATAGGGTTGAGAATTTAAAAAAATAATATTTCGATTTTTTTCTGTGTTTTTTAAATAATTGCACTCATTGTTTGTAGACAAAACTTAAGGAATTTGTACCTTTTAGAATGCATATCAGGATTCAGACAATAACTCTGAAAGATATTACAGTGACCTTTATTGAAGACACACGATATAACCAAGTGTGAACAAAATTGCCTCTCTCTTAAAAAAAAAAAATGACGACCGGCGAGATCAAAGACTTTTCACTAAGGTTCTGTCCATTACTTTCCATCAATATATGTCCGTCAATATACACTCATGGACCAAATATAAATATTTGATGTCACCGGTCGTCTTTTTTTAAGAAGACAAGAGGCTTTTGATATTTGGTTATCTCGTGTGTCTTCAATAAAGGTCACTGTAATATCTTTCAGAGTTATTGTCTGAATCCCGGGAGACATGCTAAAAGGCACAACTTCCTTAAGTTTTGTTCATGAATGTATACACACTTGGTTATCTCGTGTGTCTTCAATAAAGGTCACTGTAATATCTTCCAGAGTTATTGTCTGAATCCCGGGAGACATGCTAAAAGGCACAACTTCCTTAAGTTTTGTTCATGAGTGTATACACACTTGGTTATCTCGTGTGTCTTCAATAAAGGTCACTGTAATATCTTTCAGAGTTATTGTCTGAATCCCGGGAGACATGCTAAAAGGCACAACTTCCTTAAGTTTTGTTCATGAGTGTATACACACTTGGTTATCTCGTGTGTCTTCAATAAAGGTCACTGTAATATCTTCCAGAGTTATTGTCTGAATCCCGGGAGACATGCTAAAAGGCACAACTTCCTTAAGTTTTGTTCATGAGTGTATACACACTTGGTTATCTCGTGTGTCCTCAATAAAGGTCACTGTAATATCTTTCAGAGTTATTGTCTGAATCCCGGGAGACATGCTAAAAGGCACAACTTCCTTAAGTTTTGTTCATGAGTGTATACACACTTGGTTATCTCGTGTGTCCTCAATAAAGGTCACTGTAATATCTTCCAGAGTTATTGTCTGAATCCCGGGAGACATGCTAAAAGGCACAACTTCCTTAAGTTTTGTTCATGAGTGTATACACACTTGGTTATCTCGTGTGTCTTCAATAAAGGTCACTGTAATATCTTCCAGAGTTATTGTCTGAATCCCGGGAGACATGCTAAAAGGCACAACTTCCTTAAGTTTTGTTCATGAATGTATACACACTTGGTTATCTCGTGTGTCTTCAATAAAGGTCACTGTAATATCTTCCAGAGTTATTGTCTGAATCCCGGTATACATGTTAAAAGGTACAGCTTCCTTAAGTTTTGTCTACGAGTGGATATTTTTTTAAAGCGATTTTTCAAAATACATGTTTCAAATATATTAACACAAAGAAATAACACGCCATCTATACATATAAAATGAAAGGATTTAAGAGCACGAATGTTTCTTTTATACATAATGCAAACTTCTACTGCCCTTACTGCGATAAAAAATATATTGGGAGGGCTTGGCTCATCAGTGGTGAACCCTCCCAGCGGTTTCGCCAATTTAATCCACCAGACCGCTTCTCAGAGCTCTAATACTGTATTGGACGATTCTGCTTATATACGCAGCACTGAAGGATGGAATCTCAGAAATGGTTTTCAAGAAAACTATGGACATTAGCTTATAGGACAGTAAAATTATATTTAAATATTTGCATCGAGCAATGCTCTTCCGCAAACAATAAATACAAGGCCAGTTAGGCATATAAAAAAAAAGAAACTCACTGTGAAATTCTTTATAAAAGAGTGCAGGTTCACCAGAGAGAGAAAGAGAGCGAGTTCAAAGTAACCAAGCAGGGCTTTGGCACACTTGTAAGCGTAAAAAGTCGAACCTGGTTTTCACATGTGTAGACATGGGGTATATTTACAGTAAAAGCAGTCGCTAACTTCTACCCACTAAGATTATCATGACCTGTACCACGTGTACTAGGGATAATACAAGGTTCACACCAAAAGTTTTTGATATCCCTTATTTTTATTACAGCTGCAAATTTCAAATATTAATTTAAAAACTTGTAATTAAAAAAAAAAAAGGTCATCAGAGCTCCTTCCTTTGTCCAGAACATTTTGATTTGGAAAGACACTAAAGTTGAACCTATAGGATACTCCATAGGAACAACCGTAATAAGAGAATGTTCGAACTATCCTTGGTGTAAGAACACTTAAGGAAGTTACTTCGCTGGAGCCAAGAACAAGGTCGATGTAATTATTACTTGATCTTCATCAATCAATTAATTATGAGGCAATTGAACACCTCATTTCTATATACTGAATTTTTAAAACGTCACCTCGGATAACTACCATCAGCTGTACATAACCGCCAGATCTTTTAGAATCAGGATAATATATATATATTGCTTATCCCTAGTACACGTGGTACAGGCCATGATAATCATGGTGGGTAGAAGTAGGCGACTGCTTTTACTGTAAGTGCACCACATATCTACACATGTGAAAAGCAGTTCGACTTTGCACTTATAAATGTACCAGAGCCCCGTTTGGTTACTTGCACTCAATGGTGGGCTTGGACTTTTGCAAGTATCGGGAGCCATGGAGCATTTTTTTTATCAGAAAAAAAGTGTCCAATGCGGGAATCGAACCCGGGTCGTAGTGGTCGAAAACCAACGGTTTAGACCATCCTTCCACCAACTACCTCAGGATAATATGACAGGAATCAACATTTGACAGAAGTTACCCAATATCGGCAATCAACTTGACTTTCTACACAGAATAAAGATATTATAAGCCAAGATTGGGAAGTGCAGTCAATGAAGGATATTTCTATCATCCCATGTATCATTATACTGACAAAAGATACTTTTACGGGTTGTCACACAAAAAACAATAAATTAGGGCCTACAGTAAGAATAACTTAATACACAGAAAAACGTACACTCAAGAGTACAACACCAACAACAAAAAGGAGATAAATAAAGAAAACTCACGATTTGTTAAATAAAATAAAAACAGTACTTATCTTTTATTTGCAGCGTTGATAAGGAGCGGACCAGGGTTATAGAGGTATGCGAGGAGATCACCAGACAGAGAACGCTTTAAACGTCTCCACTCGAACACCACTCCACGACTCCTTGCATCCCGTTTTAACCTTCTTTTATATACAAACATGGCCACATTGGTCCAATAACGTGGGAGATCAGTTCACTTAACAAATAAACAACATTCTTCCCGCATAACTGAGAAGATTAAAACTGCTATGTTTGTCAAATAATTTGACAATACACGCACACACACACACGGTCCTGAAGACTATATCCATTGATTAAGACTATATTATCACATAGAAAATTAGGAAAGAAAAACTCCAGGATGACACGGCACAATTTATATAAGGCACAAGTACAAATTAAAATTGGTAAAATACAAGATAAACAATGAGGGAAGTTTACGCATAGTAAAAAAAATATATAAACATCTCAAAATTGATAATATTGTTTTTTATTATTAATAAAATAATAAATACTTTGCTTCTCCATGAAACTATATACATTGATTGGGTGTAAGATCTGTTAAGGATTATGGTACAAGACTTCTCTAGTGGTCTCCATTCTGGCGTCTGCCAAGAATTACCTTTATAAGTTTTATCTCAACATTGAACTGAGAGATTTTGTCTGGAGGAGGACAAAGTGGAAGAGCCTCCCTTCCTGAGAATAGCTGTTTATATTGTAACAAATTATATATTAATATTATTATTTTTATTAACAGAGTGGTCATTTTTCATGTTTATATCTTGCTACTCTGTAAATTTCCCTCGTGGCTTATCTTTTGTTTTACCATTCATAGTTTGTCCTTGCCTGCAAATAAATTGTTGTTTCCTCCTGAAGTTTATGTCTTCCCTAATTTTTTTCACGTGGCAATATTTTATGATCACCAAATTCTAAATAATATCATTTATTAATTATAAGGTGATAACGTGCCATCTAGATATAAGAAATGGAAACATTAAAACACCAATGTTTCTTATTTACATATAAAACAAACTTCTACTGTCCTTACTGCGATGAAATAGTTATATTGGGAGGGCTTGGTTCATTGGTTCAAAATCACTTTATTAGGTACCGCTCAACAAGAGCAACCTAGTTTATGATAATTGAAACAGTGAATAATATGTGAAGGGTATTCACTTATTAAACAAAATGTTAACGTGAGATTCAATCCCGGTTCATGGCTGTCGGAAATCGAGGGTGTTACCCACTCGTCCACCGAATTGTTTGTTGGCTCATTAGTGGTGATTCCTCCCAGCGGTTTCACCAATTTAATCTACCAGAACGCTTCTTAGATATCTAATACTGTATTGGTAGATTCTGCTTATATATGTTACAATGAAGGGTGGAATCTTAGAAATGATATTCAATTAGTGTTCAGACGTCAGTGTTCGAAAGCTCGCAGCCTTTTAAATAAATAAACACGTCGCGTCTTCCAACAATGAAATCCCGCTATTGTAATTTGATATTTCATTTATCTTTGTTTCTCAGTCATATTTGTAACAATTGGCTAAGTGAAAAAAATAGTACAAATGTGAAATTGTACTGGGATAAGGTGAATAAATTAAGAAAAAGGCTTCTCCTTATTGTGCAACTGAAAGTTGCTGATGGCTTGCGCCATATATCAGAATAAATATAAACTATTCGTTTATAAGGAGATGTGTTTTTTCTTTTTAATTGACTAAGTGTTAATAAAATAATATGAATTGTCTAGTGGCCCCGATGTACGAAAGAAGATGTACTGGAGATGTTTACTTCCTCTCACAGATGGTACAGGTTGGAAAAGTCTTCAATTCGCTCTCTAACCTGATTTGCATATTGGTACATTTTGAGATAGGACAAGATGGTCTACCCAGGTCTTTCAGATAGATACCACTGGTATGGGAGGATGAAGAGGTCCTCCTTCAGTGTCTTAATTTGACTTGAAGTGGTCAAAGTCAAGATTGTCGCTGGGCAGCTGACTTTTTGCCAATATATTCAATAAACAATTCCTAGAAGAATCTTAAATTAAGCGGTGTCTGTCGCGAAACTAAAACTATCTATATAAAACGAAACTTATTTCTTTTCGAATAAAACAATTTCTTACTATCATTATTGCAATGGAAAAAAAATATTAGGAAGACCTGGTTCTAATATTGTATTGGGTTTGTTCTGAATATATCCAGTACTTTGGAGGAATTCTTGTTGGAAGTATTTAGGAAACTATGAAAATAAGGTTTTTGAGGATAGTACAAATATGTTCCAATTCAACATCAAGCATAAGAAATATATATATTTTTGAAAACTAAACATTCTCACTTTGTCACTTATTTTATATTTTTAAAACATATATCGCGCTTTCTTTTTCTTCTCTCTTTTGCCTTATAAATAACGAAAATTCATTGTAACGGAATATTTTAAATCGAAGACGTTATAGCCTTTTTAAAATTGGAAATATCATCTAAGAAATCATTTACAAACAAAAAAAACACTTAAATTTCAAAACGATACCTTTGAAAAATTGTTTTGCAGACGAATTTTTAACCATATCGTCTGCAGTGAAATAAATCATATTTACATATGTTCCACAAACCTCGTCTGACAAAGCTAAACTATTACTTCACACATTGTCTTAAAACCATTACCAATTCACAAAATCGATTTGCTAACCACCAAAAAACGAGAGTTTACCAAAGTGTCAAATTATCCAGTTAGCACGACCGCCCGCCATTGTATGTACGCCCGGCTAATGTGTAAATGACAAAGGATATTTTGGTGGTAGAAGGTCATGTACCGATATAACCACTTGTCCAACTTGTGGTTGACCCTATTAGTGACCTGTCCCCCGCACAGGGGTTCCAGGTCAAGGTCCGAGCAGTTATATATATAGGACCCATTCTTGTGGAACCACCAGTACCACTGCTACCATGAAACTGGTAAGTCACCTACAGCTCCAGCACAACTTTTCTATAACTTCTCCCAACGTTCAAATATATTTTAAAAAAACAACGTTTTCTCTAAGATATAAATATACAATAGAACACACATACCTTAAACCGCCTCTTAAGTATATAAGCATCGGCTTGAAACATTCTTTGCCTACTGCCAATCTTTAGGATATGGAATGAATTTTTACATCTTCCATCATATATGATAGATAAACATATATATATGAAGAGAATAACTGTCTTAACCGCTCCCTTCCAATACATATTTACATATTGAGGAATATAGTGTTATCTAAAGGTTGAATATGACCAATAAAAATGCGTAATTTTTGCTCCAGATAAGCAAATTTAATGAAATTCACAAAAAAGATTTATTATTGGTCAGAATTATAAATATAATCGGCATTTGTCGACTCCGAGGAGCTCTTTGTCTTCTTTAGACCTACAATTCAGACAATCCCGGCATTGGTAGACCAAATTATATATAAGCATTAGATGACTTATCCATCAAGCGAAAGAACCATTTAGAAATGGACATGGGATCGTATTATAAATATGTGTCTTTCTAACTTTCTCTCAATATTTCCACTAAACACTAGCGGTTTAGTAACTTTTCAGGTTTCTTGGATATTCAACTTTCCCCTATCTTCTTTCAATTAGGTCGGAACTTTTGAATGATGTCAGAAACCTTTTCAGTGAGCGGGATACAATATGCCATCTTTACAAAAATATATATTATATAGAAATTGAAATATCTCATTACATCTTTGAGTGTCAGTATATTAACGAAGAGACGCTCTTCTCAAAAGTAAACGACAGCCAACTTACCTCAGTACAAAGTAACAGCGCCATATACCAAGTCAAATGCTGGACAAATTCTGAGCGAAGCCCGAGAGATTTCGTAATTAAAAGGTAAATAATGATTTTAATTATATTGATGATACGCTAATGATATGAAGATAATTATTTTCGAAAGGGACAAACTTTAATAAGACTTAAGAATGCCATTGTGACTATTTTTATCAATCCATTCGTCAAGTTTATATAATGTAGTTTGTCTTTCACTTTATATAACACAAAAAAGCTTTATATAAAGAAACAGAATCTGAGTGTATCTTTGAATTTTTATTTTAATAATATTCTATGAATAGTAAGAGAAGGCCTATATTTCAAAACAACTTCGGTAGGTGACTTGCTAAATATCGATTGATGCCAAACTGCAACAAGGAAGTAATGAGTGAAACATGGCTGGTGTCAACATTGCTATTAGTTTAGAATCCTGGTAGTGTGGCATGAGGGAAGTTCTTAGTCTGATTATGGTATTGGCACTGTTGGTGTCATGGCAGATATTTTACTGTTTTCCATTCAGACATCTCCTTTATCCATTCACATCTAAAATGTGCGTGTGGTGTGTGTACAGTTTGTCGTTGTACTTGCTCTCGCCGTGGGATACTCCCAGGGCTGGGGTGGCCATGGAGGCTACGGCGGTGGTCTGGGAGGTGGACTGGGCGGTGGTCTGGGAGGTGGCCACGGAATCCTAGTTGGAGGTGGCCTGGGTGGTGGTCACGGACACGGAGTCCTAGTTGGTGGACTAGGTGGCCACGGAGGTCTTGGCGGAGGTCTGGGCGGAGGTCTGGGCGGAGGTCTGGGCGGTGGACTCGGAGGTGGCTACGGCGGCCACCACCAGCAGGTCAGCGGCCACCACGGCAACCAGTTCAACGACCAAGGATTC